GAATGTCGGAGCCGCTGCTAAAGTCGCAAACTCGTCTGCCTTTAAATGTCACAATGGTAACGTTAAATGTCGCACGATTTTCTCTTACCGTTAAATGTCGTAACACTACCGTTAAATGTCGTATACTTTTAATTCATGTTAGACAAGAAGCTGGTGGTAGGATGATGAAAAGTCGAAAGTACAATAGTGATAAGTCGAAGTATATTTTACCTTATTATTGTATAAATTATATAATATTATCAAGCCCTTAGTAAATGAAATAATTAATTAACATTAACAAATGAATATAGTGAAATCAAATATTTCATTGGCAAAACATACACATGTTCATCGCCAAGTAACTGTTTGGCAGTACAATACAAAATGGAGGAAAGTATGAAACAATATAAATTATGCATATACATATGTTTCAGTGTTCAAACAAATATATGAATTAGATTCAATTCTCAGTTGCATCGCTGAATATACAAATTTTGCCATGTTAGCAATTACATTTTTGTTTTCACATTTCATTATTGATATAGAATAAAATAGTTTTATTTAAAAAACAGTATCACATCATTCTTTATCTTGACGAACATAATCCTATAAGAAATGGATAAAACATATACTGTATATTACATAATTTCCTGATAGAATCAATTGCTGTATGCCACAAGGCATTTTAAATGAATAAGCACCTGACCAAATGTGTTGATAAGAATCATTTAAGACATTTAAGATTGAACAATCTCTTACGTGTCAATGAAACTTTTTGGCAAATACTCGTACTATTAAGAGAATTCTTTTTCGTACGAGTAAAATATGGAATATATTTTCACGAAATATGATAAAATTCAATATATTTTAACGAGCCGGAACCATCGAGTAAAAATCACAAAAGCCTCGCGATTTTTTAAAATGTATGTAATAATATTTTGATTATTCATCAGTGTGATTCAATTTGATGTCTGAATCTTACACTGTATTGTGTGTTGAGAAAACATGACAAAGTTATCATTTCAATTTCTTATAATTAAATGAATAACTGAAGCTATGGACTGTCAGAGAAAAACAAAAACATCAGAAAAAAGTCACTAAATATAAATATGAATTTTGACAACGCCCATTTTCATATTTATTTTAAAATATTTATAACATATAGCGTACGTGTATGACTGAATCAATGAAATTCTTAAGACCGTACTTCGAAATTGATAGTGTCAGTATCATAAAACCTTTCAATGCTGAAGCTGTAGGGAAAATGCGGACACACAATATTAAATCTATCTCAATCCAATCTTTCTAGAATATGCCATACTTCATACACGTATGTTTGCAAAGCCAAGGGGGCATGAATGATGATTATAGATTTAAAAACCGAATAACAAAACTCCTAATTCAACAAATCATTTTTGAAGGCATAGCAAAGCCTATCCTAGCAGGTATATAGAAATCCCCCTTTAAATATGAACTTATTCATTTTTGCTTTATTAATGATAAGTAACACATAAGTTACAGAATGTTACAGAATGGCAAATGTAATGCAACACCATTAGCTTCTAGTTTAACATGAATTTACATCTTGCGATATTTAACGTTAGCGTTGCGACATTTAACGGGAAGTGAAAATCGTGCGACATTTAATGTTACTTTTGTGACATTTAACGGCAGACGATTTTGCAACATGCAGCAGCGGTTGCGACCTTAAGCGGCGATGATGTGACATTTAGCGACAAGTGTGACATTTATCGGCGTTGCGACATGTAACGGCGTCACACTCCCCGCCACAACTAGAATAGTTTAATTTTAATAAGAATCGAACATCAAGTGCATTGAGCATAAAAATGAATTTTGCAGATTATACCGCGACGTCATTTAAGTATGATATTTTATTAAGTAAGATTTTATGTAAAACATATTGTTTTCAATACAGATTATCATCAGTTATATTATTATGATTTGGAATCGTTATAACTGTTCCATAATCTTCATTTTCAGTCCATTTTAGTAATAGCCACATATGCTGTTTATCTTATCTTTACCAAAATTACAGTAAAAGGAATTTTGTTCGGGTAAATGATACACTAAAATGACATATTCTTTGTTGAATGAAATGTTCATGGAATTTGAAAAATGAAAACCAATTTTGCAATAATAAGTATGTAATATACAGAAAGATCTGCGGCGCATTCAACGTGTACATGGTTATAACCAATCAAGTGATCTCCTCCTATTCTACTAAGGAAATACCACGTGCCAAAGTGACTAAAATAATATACAAACCAATAAGAATTACAGCTTGATTTCTGTCTGAATATAAAGAGCCTGATTGTTTTCTTATATACCGTGATCAAAGCAGCCTGAACTGCAAGCATTTTAGCCATGGTTATCTGGATACAGTATATAGTATTTGCAGCATGTTTCTTTGCTGTCGCTAGTGGAGGTAAACACTTTGATTTTATATCATTTAACCAAGATATTTACATTTCTTTCACTTTACTACTTCGCAAAAGTATTTACTAAACAAAATAATTTTAATAGCAGTTTTCTTTTTTGCAATGTTATCGCTTCGCGAATTAATTTTGTTATTAAATACCTCCTTGCCAATGTATTTTGAATTTGTAAGCATTTTACTTTTTCGCAAAGGTATCACACAGCAAATTACTATTTCGGCCACACAGTCCAAAACTCAGTAGGAAGAGCATCGGATTAATAATCCATGGGTCGTTCGTTCGATCCTCGGGCGAGGCGTAAATTCTCCGCGCGAAAATTGATCACCGACATTGAGTTTAATGGTCTATTGTCTATCACCGCTGCTTCAGAAATCACGAGAAAAAAGCAGTCTAACTTGCGGAGAAATTAGTAAATACTTGTTTGCAATCTTTTTCGCAGTGATTTCCCCTTACCAGTACAGATATTTCTGCCACCACACACAATTCTATCAATATTTTGATATTTTATATACTTCTTTAATTAGCTTTTGAATTTATTTTTTATGATTTTGTAAACTTAAGATAATTATTCGATAAACTATAACGAGCGTAGGTACGAAAAAAATGATGTAACGGCTCATATTAAGATTTGAATTTCGATATAACGTCATGTGACTTTCATCATCAGTCTGCAGATACAGTGTTTTACAAAGGGAGGTAATCACTGTGAGGAATTTAACTTGTTAGATTTCTAGGAAACCCCACCGCCTTGATATGATCAAAACACATGTGGAAATCGGCGGTAAAATCCAGAAAAAAAAACACCACAAACACAATCATAATACCTACAAAATGTCTTTGTTATTGATTTGAAATACAGCGAAATTGCATTCTTTGCCTATAATAAAAAGGTTCATGACTTTGCAGCAGCAGTGTATATATACATGTATAACTATTAATTTATACATTTTGGTAATATATCCTCGACTACCGTAAATCCGCGACGCTAAGCTTTCTCCGGCGTAACAAACAATAAAAGGTCAACAAGTAGAAAATATACGTCACTAACCTGCTAAAAATTTTTATTTCCTCATAATTCTTACGAATATTTCACATGTATAATCTTCAACAAGTGTCAATGTCACCTTTTGTTTACATTTATCAATGGAGGCGGCCATTTTGTTTCACTTCCCGCCATTCGCGGATGTGACGTAATCCCATAGTTCTTTGCAAAAAAAAGTACAATTACATGTAGGTCACATCTAAGTTTAAATATTTGGTTTTGGTCACTACTTGGTCCAAAGTGAGCATTTAATTAAAAATAACTGTTCTAACACATTTAACAGATTAACAGTAATATGAAATTAGGTGCTACCTAAACATTGAAAATTGAATTATACTTTTTTGTTGAATGAAATGTTTCTGGTGGTTCGAGACTGACATGTCCCACACTATAGAACATTTATCAACATTATTTACTAAAGAAAATGTGTTGCAAAGTAAAATTAAATTCATATTTTGAAGACAATTAGTGATGAAGAAGGGATAAGGGATTTCATTTAATTTTTTGCTTCAATTTGTAAATATATCTTGTGTTTAAAGACAGTAAACATAGGATGAGACTTGTTCCTTTTGCCTAGGAGAACAGCATATTTATTCTGCTGCAATATAAATACCTTCTTGGCATGTGTATCCATACCCATAATCAGACATAGTCTGAAAATGTTTAACTACATAAGCCTCTTTAAGCTGACTAAACAAAGGTGCTGAACCAATAACAAAATTTTCTGGGTCAACTTTGCCAAAACTCCTGTTTCTTGTGTCTTTTGGCACACAATACATTTTAGATGCCCCGAGGACAGGTACACCATCTTCCCAACAAATTTGTTAGCATTTATCAGTGCTGTTTGGGAATATAGTCTGAAGATTTTCTTCATTGACTGTGGGTTAAGCTTAAAATAAAAAAAATCATTAAACATACAGGACTGAAAATTTAACAATAAAAATATGCTTGGCCTTATTTTTTTGATAGTGGCGGGTAATTCCATATATGGAAAGTTACTATGAAGCAGACGAATGTTTATTTTTTTGGAATTCAGACAATTTTGAATTAAAAATGGATTTTAAAAGTTATAGATATTTGGGAATAAGGAAAAAGGCAAGTTTTACATTGAAAATAGTTTTGAAGGCTCTTATCTGTTTAAACAGCATGATTTTTGTTAATGTTTTTGAGGTCAAGGTAAATTCTCCCTAGTAAAAATTTTCCCACGGTCACACATGCGCAGAAACGAGTTAGTCCGAGACTATCATAGAAACAAAGATGGCCGCGAATTTACGGTAGTCGCGAAATAAGGGGAGTTGATGATACTATTTACATCGAAAACTAAGAAGTATTTCTAGTTGAGGCTTTCCGCAAGTAGTGCCCATTTTCAGTACGCATTGAGAAATTCTGATGAGTTGACAGTTTGCATCTTTGACCAAATCTCTGCAAACTATCTTGCACTCCGCGAAGTAACAAACATATCACGAAACTTTCTTAAATGTAACTGTCAATAACTAAATATCAAAAATCTATTTCAGAATGCATGGATTCAATAATGTACAGTGGTACACTAAATGTGACTCTGAATGGACACACGTGTCAAAGGTGGGACAGTCAACAACCACACGAACATGTACGAAACACGACGCATTTCTTTCCGAACGACGCGTCAGTGTTTGATGCACACAACTATTGCAGAGGTGCTGGAGAGTCGGGTAAGTAAACGTTACACTTCAAAGAGTTTGTACTGCGATCGTTGTGATTTGATGTTAAAAAATTTTATGTGCAAAGTTGTACATAGGTAAAAGCCAAAATAACTTTTCATTTTTGATATAATGGTAAAAATCTTGGAGCAACACTAGCTTTTTAATGGTTGCTAAATCCAGACTCTGATATCTCTATAACAACAGGCAATGAAAGCCCTGTTTTCTCTTGCATCATTGTTTGATACTAAATCTTTAGCTGTATCGGAAAAAAATATGTTGTTTGAATCCATGATTGCTGCTATTATGAACTGTGGATATGAATTATGGGGAATTCACAAGGCCCCAGAATATGTAATTCTCGAAACAAACGTAGCACGTAGACAACAAACACCAAATGCTACAGTATATGGGGAATTAGGTAGATTCCCTATGCTTATCACACACAAATGAGCACATGTGACAAAGTCGACATGTTGTATTATATTGACATTTATTGAACTTGACGTATGGACACAATGAACGGATGTACGATATTTAGGTCTAACCTACGCTAAGAGACTAAAAAAGTAATTTAAATGCGAGCGTTGAAGACTGAATTTATGCCAACATTTCGAGCATAATTTACATATATAACAGCAAACAGTACATTCGTTATATACTTATTTTAAACCGAAAGTTCAAAATGTCTATCTGTTGACATTTATTTAGATTTGGTTAAAATAGTACATCAGTGAGCATTTTAATTTTGATGTTCGATCATAATTTTACCATAGTAGACTTTTCCTTTGGATGCCAAACATACTGTATATAGTATTCGTTATATCTTTATCAAAGATAACACCCTCATCTAAAAGCCACGTGGTAGAACTACTTTCATTCCATATCAAGTTCGAGGCTATTATTGATAATAAAAGTTGATTTAGCTTCTCTATTCGATCTACTGGGTTAAAATAAATTGTCAATAATATTTAGCGGCCATATTCGCAAATGTACATTGTGTCAGTTCCATTTCATTTTCTATTAGACTAACTATGGACCAAGCTGGTAATTTACTTACTATATGCATTTGTTTCGTTTGCGACAAAATTGTCATTATATATTTTCAGATGAACTTTGGTGTTACACCACAAATGAAATGGAGCGATGGGACTATTGTATTAGTCCGAACGATACTTGCCAGGTAATATAACCAACTTAATGAAAATATCAATTTAATCTTAAAATTTCGAAAAAGATACTGACTGAATAGCAAAAAAGAAGAAGATGGATCTGCCGACTGAAACTAGCCTACATTGGTAGATTCAACTTTGTATTTGTATACTACAATGTATTAATGAAAAATAGATAACTCCAAAATTAAAGCAAGACAAATAAGTGACATTGCTTTTGCTGAAATAAATATTGACGAAATACTAGGCCTTTCTATTCATATTGGGGGTAAAATTCTGAAAATGATAAAAGATCTTCATTGTTGCATTGTAAAATGAATAAACTAATAAAGTTTTAGCGGCTGGCCGCTTGGGGTTCTTGATTCTTATCATGTATTGCTATCTAGTTGGCTAAGAACGATTGATTGTTTCTTTATACGCGTCTTCTCACGCCTAGATTGATGGTTCTTCTTACCTGTCTACTTATTTCTGTAAAGATGGTTTTCCTCCCGTGTATACTCACGCCTGTAATAATGGTTCTTCTTCCGTGTATACTCATGCCTGGATTAATGGTTCTTCTTCGTGTCTTCTCATGCCTGTATCGATGGTTCTTGTTCGTGTCTACTCATTCCTGGATTGATTTCTCTTCTTCCGTGTCTATTCATTCCTTTATTGATGGTTTTTCCTCCATGTCTATTCATTCTTGGATTGATGGGTTTTCTTCCGTGTCTACTCATTCTTGTATAAATTGTTCTTCCTCCATATCTTTTCATTCCTGGATTGATGGGTTTTCTTCCGTGTCTACTCATTCCTGTATTTATGGTTCTTCTTACCAGTCTACTCATTCCTGGATTGTTGGGTTTTCTTCCGTGTCTACTCATTTCTGTATTTATGGTTCTTCTTACCAGTCTATTCATTCTTGTATTGATGATTCTTCTTCGTGTCTACCCATGCATGGATAATGCACCAAGGTGAACTCGTGCCGTCCTGTATCGTTTATGTTTACATATGGCTATACGAACATTTCAAAGATATCTACAGAAAACTTCTACAAAAACCAAAAACGAATAAAAAAAGATGAAAGACATGAATCAAGTCTTTCAAGAACTTAATATAATCTTACGATACTGATGCAATATCATTCATTAACTCCAAATACTCAGTCTACGAAGAATTTTACTTTCCCAGTCGGATAAATTTGCAAATTATGAAAAATATAAGTTACTTATTCAACGCTTATCTTTAATTTTGTAAAAATAAATTTTAATTTCTCGATTGATCAGACATTTTCAAGAATAATTGTCAAAGTATTTCTGTACGATCATTAATTGCATCATTTACGTGTATAGTGCACATAGGATTTTATTACAGGATTCAGACGTTGGTGCGCTATCTTGTTCATATTTGCCATTTGGTAAGAATTCTACACATTGTCCAAACAACACATTAAACTACTACTGCGAGGACGGTTTTGGTGAAGGTAATTCAGTCTATGTTAGCATTTACTATGAGCTTGAGTGTACACGGTACAGCTGCTGTGTACCTTGGCTAAGTACAATATTGACTTCTTCCAAAGGCGAGTCCGTTGCAACACAGGCGTCTGACAACATTGACAACATATCAACCATATTTCCAGAAGAAGACAGTTCAACAACATCTGTTATTGAGATCACAACGCCAATGTCAAGTGGAATATGTTCGACATCAAATTTCAATATGTATATGCTACTATTTGTGCTATCAATTTTGCTGTTGCCTTAACATTTATATCAAAACTTTTCTGCCAACTGCATCACAACCAAACCGTTCAATTATAAATCTTAAATAAATGTCATTCCTGAATATCAAATTTATTATAATATAAAGATACATTTAATGACGTAACAAACAAGACATATCCTTCGATCATCTGAAATATGATGGGGCTAAAATAAGTTTGTACTATCAGTTAAAACCATTAGATAAAATAGTAATCATATTTGAAATCCGACAGAAAATCGTCCAATGCTTAATTCAAGGGAAAGGTGCGAAGTTGTTGCACACTTGGTTATAAAATGGCTTCAGAGTCATGAAAATCTAAAGCGCCCGCCGTGTTTTTTTCCAGGTAAGTAGGTCTGTACGTTATCTTGCAATTTTTGAAAATACGCATTTTTACTATGCAATGTTTGTGACACAATTGGTCTTAGATTTCAGCTTCCTAGCTTCTGATGTTATTTAGTTATTGAAGATATAAACAGGTCATGTACATATTTTGATGTTTTTAGGGCTTGGTAGCTATTTTATCAAGTTTGCAACCATTTGAGCCGCGTCATGACACAACCAATATAGTACGTTTGCGACCAGCATTGATCCAGATCAGCCTGCGCATCCACGCAGTCTGATCAGGACCCATGCTATTCGCTATCAGTTTCTCTACTTGTAATAACAGCATGGATCCTGATCAGTCTGCGTGGATGCGCCGGCTGGTCTAGATCCATGCTGGTCGCAGACCCATTATGTTGGTTTTGTCGTGAAGTGACTCATTTCGCTGGCTTGAACCAAGTATTAAACCACTTTTCGCAATCAATATAGCCTATAGTGTTTAGAATTTGAAAAAATGATAATCTTTTTTAAACAACACTGGCCTTTACAAAATACGATTGTTGCTACTGTTGCTTCATTGTTGTGCTTTAAACTAATGTTGTTAAAGTGAGATTTTCTTTAAATATGTGTAAGAATAAAGAAGACAGTTAAACCTTGTGTTTTTTACTGAATCATTTCCATTTATGACACTCTTTATTCTAAAAATAAACACTGCTTATGCTAAAAATATTAAAACAACTCAAATTATGTGGAAACGATATGAAAAAAATTTAACATGTTTAAAACAAATGTATCATGTTTTTGTTCATATAATGGGTTTCATTTTTAGAAAAAAATACATGCAGGAAATATTATGTCCCCTTAATTAGACTGTTAAAAGATCTTTATTGTTATTATTTTAATAAATTATATTTTTCATGCTGCTGACTTGTTTCATTTAGTCGACTATGAGGTGCTTCTTCGACTATGAGGTGCTTCTTTTTACTTCCGGAAATTTTACATCACAAATTACATGAAAATGTTGAATTTCGTGGAAAAAGCACAAACCTTTACGAATACTTGCATAACAAGCTTCTCTCCTACACAAATGGTCCTAAAAATACCAACATATTTGTTTACAGTCATTAAATATACATACAAAATAAATTTGCAGTTTCCACGAGATATCTGGGACCTATATAACGATTAGTATGTTTCCCTTGACACAAATATGAACACCCCTGTTATCACACCAATTAACATGTTTCAAGCAGGACAAAACCAACATAATGAGTTTGCGACCAGCATGGATCCAGACTAGCCTGCGCATCAGCGCAGTCTGATCAGGATCCATGCTGTTCGCTTACCAACTCTATTTCAAGTAGAGAAACTGATAGCGAACAGCATGGATCCTGATCAGATTGCGCGGATAAGCAGGTTGGTCTGGATCCATGCTGGTCGCAAACGCACTATGTTGGTTTTGTCGTGACGCGGCTCATATCATCTTGGAATATATTTAACAAGTATAAAACCTTACATACTGTACTATTCAAGATTTAATTCTTCATGACACGAGAAGTGGTCTCAAACATTTAACTTCAGTTACTATTTTCAATAAGTTTTATTCATTTTTACAACAAAACCTGGAACATGCAAAACGTTGAACATGTTCTACAGCTTTGAAATACACAATATGTATTAATCAAAAATGAGGATTATCATAATATCTGTCATATGTGCAGTTCAGATCGGAATATCCGTCCCGGGTGGGGGGGGGGACCCGCACATTAGGCGGTGACGTGACTAGCCTTGCCGAGGACGGATTAATAATATATCTATCAAATGTTGCTGTTCGGGTCGGAATATACGTTCCGAGGGAACACGCCCATTGGGCGGTAACAAAGCTTGCCGAACTCAATTTTTAAAATCACACTTCAGTTATCGTAAAATTATTTGCTTTAATATAGTTCTATTAATAATTGTAAAATAATGTAGATACTGTTGTGCAGCCGAAAAATGATAAAATTCTTTTACAAAAAAATGAATAAATATGCACGATGATTTTCTTTTAAACACAAATATTTATAAATATAATCCTTTTCTTAAAGGTCATATTTTCAAAACAATGTGTGAAATTTCAAATATGTGAAGTTACAGATACTATATGTTTTAACAATAGATGTCAAATTTATAATTATGCAACCGGAAGAATAAATGTGGCTTTTCCTCTTTGTCAATGGTGCTAAAAGTTTTATTATATTTAGGTGATAATGTCAATTTAGCCGTCTGTACTTAATAAGTTGTTAAATCTTATTACTGATAAAATGACCAGGTGATGATTGTTGTTATAAATTATATGTTGCTATGTTACATTATTGTATTGAAACCTGATTGGTAATTTTGTTATTTAAGAAACAAAGAAAAATTTTATTGGTCAGTTTAAAACGAAACCATTTTTAGAAATATTGTAAAGATAGAGAAATCGAACAGTTAGATTTTGGATTTCCAATTAATAACATTGTGGCTTTCCACTAGAAATATTTGTTACTGCTTTTTAATATACATTATATTTGTTAACGTCAGGATAACCTGTGTATATTTGATATATTATTAACGTTTGTGGTATTCCACTGAGAAAGAAACAATAAATGATAAAACGGAACATTGTGTTGAAATTCAATCCACCTTCAATAGAACCATAACTCAGCGCATAATAATACACTTTAATGGATACAAACAGACTTAATAAGAACATTTTCATGTGGGCAAATAGATTGTCAAATAAAAGATGTAAGAATTAGAATTTTAAGGTTTGTCAGAAATTTAGACAATATGATTTTGATAGCTTTTGCAATATTGATACACCTTATTGAAAAGAATGTATACTTAAAATCTGCTTCCAAAAATTTAAGATGATCATGTTAAAAAAAATGGAGCACTGATGTGACACGGACAGGTTCAGGTAGTAATAAAATCCGTACATACAAAACTTTTAAAACTAATTTTGAAACAGAATATTATGTTAAAGATGTTTATAAAAGATCTTATAGAGTTGCCTTGGCAAAATTTAGAAGTGGGACAGCTCCAATAGTTATTGAATTAGGAAGATATTATGAATTACAAGTAGAACAAAGATGAAGTACATTTATTGTTATATTGCCCTCTTTATGATTCAATTTGATTAGAATTACTTCAGTTGGTAACGGTTTAGATAATTTAACCGACATTGATAAGTTTGGATACTTTTATCTAATGCAGACATAGCAATAGTAAGTGCCAAAACCTGCTATAACATCCTAAATAAAAGAAAAAACTTGTTTTATATCATTAGTAATAATAAAATACCCTGTCTAGAATATGTGATATATTGTCCTAGTGTTTATAGTACCCCTGTTGTATATTGTTTGAGTGATACATTGTTACATGTACATACAATGTTTGAATACATGCCTTAAGTTTCCTTGTTAATCTTAATGTGCTCTGATCTTATCAATCACACACTATTATTTTTACACCCATTCTTTAGACTGTGGAGCTTTTTGTCATTTTATTATATCTCAATCCTTTTACTTATTTTTTTGAAATATGATTAGCAAGGATAATGTGAGTTAATTATACTGTATCATATCATTATGTACATGTATATCAAGGGAAATAGCTAAGGGGGACAATCTACAGTGCATGAAATACTCCTGTTTTGTGGTCTAGAGAGCTGTCACCCTTAGAAGTAAATTCTGTAATTCTATTTTTTAGTTCACCTTGCACAAAGTGCAGGTGAGCTTTTAGGATGGCCAACCAAATGGCGTCCGTCGTCCGTCCACATTTTAAATATTCTAAGGACATCTTCTATGATACCGCAAGGCCAATGTTAATGAAACTTGGCAGGAATACTCTTTGTATGAAGCTCTATCAAGATTGTTCAAAGAATTCCATTTCATGCAGAACTCTGGTTGCCATGGCAACCGAAAGAAAAATCTTTAAATATCTTCTTTTAAAGAACCGTAAGAGCTAGAGCTAAGATATTTGGCATGAAACATCTTCTAATGAGTGTCTACCAAGTTTGTTCAAATAAAAGCCCTGGGGACAAAATTGGCCCCGGCCAAGGGGGTCATGAATTTTCCCAATATGCATATAGTAAAAACTTAAAAACTCTTCTTTTAAAGAACTGTAAAAGCTAGAGCTTAGATATTTGGCATGAAACATCTTCTAGTGAATGTCTACCAAGTTTGTTCAAATAAAAGCCCTAGGGTCAAAATTGGCCCCGCCCCAGGGGGTCATTGATTTTCCCTATATGCATATAGTAAAAACTTAAAAAATCTTCTTTTAAAGAACCCAAAGAGCTAGAGCTCAGATATTTAGCATGAAACATCTTCTTATGAGTGTCTACCAAGTTTCTTCAAATTAAAGCCCTGAGGTCAAAATTGGCCCTGCCCCAGGGGGTCATAGATTTTCTCTATATGCATATAGTAAAATTTTAAAAAATCTTCTTTTAAAGAACCCAAAGAGCTAGAGCTAAGATATTTGACATGAAATATCTTCTAGTGAGTGTCTACCAAGTTTGTTCAAATAAAAGCCCTGGGGTCAAAATTGGCCCCGCCCCGGGGGGTCATTGATTTTCCCTTTATGCATATAGTAAAAACTTAAAAAATCTTCTTTTAAAGAACCGTAAGAGCTAGAGCTTAGATATTTGGCATGAAACATCTTCTAGTGAATGTCTACCAAGTTTATTCAAATAAAAGCCCTGGGGTCAAAATTGGCCCCGTCCCAGGGGATCATAGATTTTCCCTATATGCATATAGTAAAAACTTAAAAAATCTTCTTTTAAAGAACCCAAAGAGCTAGAGCTAAG